TAGTAGTAGTAGTAGTAGTAGTAGTAGTAGTAGTAGTAGTAGTAGTAGTAGTAGTAGTAGTAGTAGTAGTAGTAGTAGTAGTAGTAGTAGTAGTAGTAGTAGTAGTAGTAGTAGTAGTAGTAGTAGTAGTAGTAGTAGTAGTAGTAGTAGTAGTAGTAGTAGTGTAGTAGTGGTAGACTAGCAGTAGTAGTAGCAGTAGTCGTGGTAGTTGTAGAAGTAGTAGTAATAGGTGATTCAAGCAGAGGCCCGCAATACGATCCAAGAGGCTCCCAAGAAGACTCCAGCATGCCCCAAGACAACCCCGACCGGCGCCCCGTAGTCATTTGGGCGCAAGTCCACAGCTGTTTTGGCCCCAGCTGGAGATCCCAGTGGAAGACACCCCTCGGCCCCCGCGGCTCCAGAAAGAGAGAGAGCGCGCGATGCCGGCGCGGACCCGCAGCGCCTTGCCGCTTGTCGGAGCCGCCGCGGTCGGCGGCGGTTCTCTCCTCAGCCTCGGCGGCCGCTGCTTCTCGCTGGCGGCGCAGCAGCCTGCGCGGCAGGGCGCGCTGCGCGCCGCTGCTGGCGGCAGCGGCCCGGCGCACGCCGAGGCGCCGGCGGAGCAGCCCCTGTCGGGCCTGCTGCTCGCCACGCCCGCGCTGTGCGGAGTGGCGCTGCTGGCGTCCCGCAGGCGCACCGCGGGGCTGCAGCGGTCGGCGGAGGGTCTCGCGGTGCAGGAGAAGCCGCTCGCGAAGGCCCCCTTCGAGATGGTGTCGACGCCGAAGGAGACGTACGAGGCATTGGTTGCCAAGGGCACAGCCAACGCCGGCATGCCACTCCTGAAGCTGATGCACAGTTCGATCATGGGCGGCGCGTACGTGGGCATGGCGGGCCTGCTGTCCCTTACCATCGCCGGCAACCTGAGCCCCGACGTGGCCATGGGCGTGCAGAAGATGGTGTTTGCCGCCCTCTTCCCCGTGAACCTGTTGCTCGTCCTCCAGTCGGGTTGCCAGCTTTACACGGGCAACACCGCCACTGTGTCCGCTGCTTTCTTGGAGGGAAAGGTGAAGGTCCGCGCCGTGCTCAGGAGCTTCTTCCTTTCTTGGGTCGGGAACGTCATCGGTTGTGGGGCGCTCGCAGTTGCCGCCTGGTACACCGGCCTGCTGAGCGGTGGCACTGGAGAAATGGCCGCTGCGACAGTTGCCAAGAAGGTCAGCGGCACTCTGGGTCAGAAGTTCGTGAAGGCGATCCTGTGCAACTGGCTGGTCTGCATGGCGGTCTTCCTGTGCACCCAGGCAAAGGACATGACGGGCAAGATGGTGGGCATTTGGTTCCCCATCTCCATGTTCGTTGGCATCGGCTTCGAGCACTCCGTGGCCAACATGTTCCTGCTGCCTGCAGGCCTGCTCGCCGGCGCGCCCATGACGTACGCGCAGACCTTCTGGCAGAACCTCATCCCGGTGACCTTCGGTAACCTCGTCGCCGGGGCCGTCATTATCGCCGGCGGCTTCTATTTCCAGTTCGGCAGCAAGAAGTGAGTGGCTCATTTTTCGATCGTGCTTGCGCTGGCTATCGGCATTCAACCGCCATCATCGTGTGAGATCCGCATGGCTCTCTTCTGTCGTGAGTTGATCAAGCGAAGAAGCGAGGCGTTGCACTATTTGGATAGAATTAATATTGCGGAGCTCAGCTCGCACTCGCTACTACGGATGTTGTTTTGTAGCAGTTTTCCTTCAACAAGCGTTCATCGTGACGCATGCAGTTTGATTCTCCTTCACATCTCGCGGAATGAACATTCAGCTCAAGCGTTAGTTTCATCATTGCAGTTGGCCACGCGTTCAAACAGCTTCTGCCGGTAGCTGCCAACAAGCAGTTTCTACCTTTCTAGTCCAGCTCGAGCTTTCGCGCTTTCGCACACAGCTTGTACCTCAGTCTGGCGAATAAGGCAGGGTCCAAAAAAAGACAACCCCGCGCAGCGCCAGGCAGTCACAGGGTAGCCCGATAGGGTCACCAGGACCCTCTCCTGCTTCAACATCCTCCAATTGCCTCTTACTGTCCTCCGTCGTCGTCGTCGTCGTCGTCATCGTCCTCCGCATTCCTCCTCGTACTTGCTCTCGTTATCTTCGTCTTTGTCCTTGTGCTTCTCTTCCTCCTCGTTGTCCGCATGCTCCCTCTCGCTATCCTCACGTTCTTCACGTCGTCCTCGTCATCGCCTTCTCGTCGCCCTCGCCTTCCTTTTCTTCTTCTCCCCCCAATACGCCCATTGGACTGAAGCGGCGCTTCCCGTTCTTACCCGATCAGGTTTGTAATTTCGGGACACCGATCTGGAGGAGGTCCAAAACCAGAAACGCATTTGGGAATCCACCGCCTCTCTACCCTTGCTGGGGACTGCTAACAACAATTCGCGCGACGCTAAGGCGAGAGCCGGAGTTTGGAAATTACCAGCCACCCATAATTTGAAATTGCTCTAACTCTGCCAAAGCATGCGGGTGGCGTCAAAACACGGGCTGCATTCGGGAGAACATGGTCAGCTTCAGGGAAGTATGTTGCCCCCCCTCCCCGACGACGAAGACGACGACCGACGACACTCGACCATTCCCTGCTCACCCAATCTGCTTTCTGCGGTCATCCGTCGCGCCCTGTTGAGCCCGTCCTTCCTTCTCCTTATCTCTCTTTTCCCTCTCTTTCCTTCCCCTCCTCGTCCTGGTCCTCCTGGTCGTCGCCGTCAGTGTCTTCATCCGTAGCCAGTTTTTGGCTGAAACAGATTGCCCCGAGGGTGCATTGCCACGCGCGCGCGCGCCGCAGTACTTCGGCGCGCCCTGACCGTGGAGCAGCAGGTGCACTTCGGGTTCTCGCACCAACATGCTGACGAAGGCAGACAGCAGGTGCTTCAAAGACGAGCGGATGTCGGGGGAGGTGGACGAGCTCGTTGGATGGACCACCGAAGATTTCGAGGTCGCGATGCGAGAGGCAGCTGCGCGGGAGGAGTGCGCCACTGTCGGCGAGGCTGGTGGGAAGGCCACGGCGGCGGCATCCTGCAAGCTCTTCGTGGGCGGCCTCTCGGCTCAGACGAGCACGGAGGCCCTCCGCGCGCACTTCTCGAAGTACGGCTGGCTAGTCGACGCGGTGGCCATGTCGAAGGCCGGGCGCCCGCGAGGGTTCGGCTTCGTGACGTACGACTCGCCCGGCCCTGCGGCCATGGCACTCGTGGAGCCGCAGTGGCTGGACGGCCGCCTCGTGGACGTGAAGCGCGCGGTGCCTGGCGAGCGGACCCCAGAGCGAGCATCGAGCAAGGTTTTCGTCGGCGGCTTGTCCCAGGACGTCACCACCGATGACCTCAGGGCCTACTTCGGCGCCTACAGCCCCGTGGCTGACGCGGTGGTGATGGTGGACCGGCGCACGAGCCGCTCCCGCGGCTTCGGCTTTGTCCGCTTCGGCAGTGGTGCCCAGGGTTCTGCCGCGGCGGAGGCGGTCCTCCTGGACTCCCCGAAGCACCGCCTCGCGGGCAAGTGGGTCGAGGTGAAGCGGGCCACGCCCGCCGCCGCTCTCCAGGAGCTGTCGCCCACGACAGCGTCCGACGGCGCCGGCAGCCCCGCGTCCCTGGCGATGATGGAGGCCTCGGCCGCCTACATGATGGACGTTCTCGCGTGGCCCGACGCCTTCGCCGGCGCCGGCTTCCCTAGCGGCGTGCAGGCCGCGTCGCCGTTGTGGGGCGCGGGCCGCGGACACACGCGTGGCCGCCGCGGCCGCCGCCGCAAGGGCAGGATGGGCGGGGACGCCGGCGATGGCAGCGACCGCGGCGAGGGCGAGCAGCAGATGATCTACTGCGACAGTCCCTGCGGCCACGGCTCTGCCAGCGGCTCGCCCTTCGGCAACTCGCTGTCAGGCCTCGACCTGCCCCCTGGGCTGCCTGTCAGCCCCGCGGCGGCGGTGGTCGCGGCAGGCCGAGCCTTCCAGGCTGCGTCCCTGGGGGCCCCGCTGGCGCCCCTCGGACTGGATCAGCTCTGCTTCGACATGAGCCCCGCCTCCATGGCAGGGCGCCTTGGCGTCATGGGCGGCGTGCACCAGACCAACGGCTTCGGTGACCTCGGCGGCCTCCGCGCCGCCGCGGCCAAGCTCTCGCAGGGCGACTCGGAGAACAACGCGAGCCGCGCCAACCGCGCCGCCACACCACCGCGTTGCCCCCATGGCAGCCCAGGGCCTAACGCCTCGCCCATGAAGGTGACCTGCAGCGACGACTTTTCTGGACTGCTCCCCGGACGGCGCTCGGGCAAGAATGTGACCACGCAAGGCCTGCCCTCGTGGCCGTGTGCACAGTGAGCCGCCGCATGCCGCGCTGCGGGAGCAGCAGCGTGTCCAGAAAGCCCTCGCTTCAGGACGGCGCCCCGCGCGCGAGCGCGCCGCGGCCCCAGGGGTTGCAGGCTGCGCTGCGCCAGTGCACAATCACCCTTCGGGAGTCCGAAAGCCTAGGCAGGTTGCACACTTTCAGAGTTCCACCCTGCGCTCATCAGCAGCGCTCATAGGCGTGTGGCGTAAGGGGGGCGGCCTCCGTAGAAAGCAGGAGGGCTTCGGGGAAAGCCGATTGCCCACTGGCAAGTACTATCGGAAGGCACCAGACCCTTCTAAGGAGCCCCCTGCCTTCTCAGAACGCTGCCTCCCTCTCCCCACCCCCTTGCGCGCGCCGCCACTTCAGGTGCAGCTGCTAATTATACGTTCAAGGTGCATTATATCCTGCGACGTGACGTGAGACTCAAGGGGGGGTCTCGGTCGCACGTCGCGTGCAGCGTGATGCTAGCAGCGGCAGTCGCGGTCCTGGTTGTGACAGCCGGGCCCTGCACGCGTGCGCGGGCATCTTTGAGCATTACTCTGCAATGCTTAATTAGTACGTAATCAGCGCTGGTGGCAAGCGGACCCTGTAGGGCTAGTGAAAAGGGCCGAAGCCGCCACCGCGTTGTTTTAGTAGGTGCGGCGTAGTGCCGCGCACGATGAGTGCCATTGGAAGAGGAGGCGCAGCAGGAAGAGAAAGACGGAGGTAGGATGGAGGAAAGAGTGAGCAGGCTCATGCTATGCCTTTGATGTGCGCTTCGTGCATGTGTTGTTCCTTGCACGGCGAAGCGGCAAGCGTATGCAATGGTTGCGCGCCTGTAGTTGCCCACGCAGTGGACTTTCTGGAGGAATGTGATTGGAGATGGTCACGGGAGATTGAGGGATGACGCCAGTCTTATACAGGCTTGTGCTGTAGTTGCGAGGTTCGCCTCGACGGTTGCGAGTCCTCGCCCTCCAGGGGAAGCTGGTGGCCATTTAGGACTAAGGATGCCCCTCTCCTCGCGCACGCGCGCCTTCTGGCCACGGCACGATTGGAACAGACATCGGAGCAGCCTTCATACCCGACGCCGTCTCTCTGCTCCGTCAGCTCGGGCCCCTTTGACCTGGGCTCAGGCGTGCGCTATATTAGCTCGCTCGGACGGCTGGGTTTCGCTGCGGCGAGGACGAGGGCGTGCCCAGATATTGTGGGTGCGGCGACGACCCCAGCGCGTGCTGTCAAGGCTGAGCGCCGCCAGTTGCCCAGAGTCGGTCCGATGTCGAACGAACAGCGCTATCGGAAAGCCAGGACCGCTCAAATTTGAACGACCCACGTGGTGCCGGATACCAGCGCACACGCGACCCGATTCGAATTTGCCGTCGGGGTGTTGGGAAGGTCGGAGGTGTCGACGACGTGGCCGCTCCTGGCTGCCGCCCTGCGCGCTCGCGGGAGGCGCAGCAGGCGGTCCTTCCGTCCAAATGAGGTTTCCGGCTGCTTGAAGCCTCTGCTGGAGGCTCCCGAGGGACCCCGCGGAGGTTTGCGGAGGCCCTCGGAGGCCAAAAGCGTCGCCAAAAACGTCGCCCAGAAGCTTACCTCTTCGATCCTCCTGAACGCCGAACGCTTGTGGCATCGGGGCTCGATCTGAAGGTTGCCATCCCTCGATCCTCCTCTCCTCCTCCTCCTCCTCCTCCTCCTCCTCCGCCGTCCGTAGCCATTTTGGCTCAAAATGCATTGTTGTTCAGGGCAACGAGTGGATACCTCTAGTCAGAGGCTAGACACCGCTGAATGTCGGCCTGTTCGCCCAGGTGTGGATCCAGAGACCACCAGGGTCGCTGGACGAGTTCACGCCTTTTCCCAAAGAGGGGATTCCTCGGCGATGGGAACAAAGTATGGGCAGCAGTTCGCCTGGTGCTCGTGCGGGAAATGGAACTGCAATTGGCGTATCATTCAGAACGACTACACCTGTGTTTTCTGCAAGGAGCAGGTCGACATCTACAAGCCTGGGGAGGATAAGAAGTCGGCCTAGCCAGGGTCTCGGGCGAAAATACTCTGGGCACGTGATCGCGACAAGATCGAAGGCACCACGTCTTCTCCAAAGGCCCTCCTCGAACAGCTGCCACCTGAGCTTCGAGGATCGGCCATTGCCCAGGCACTCCAACTCGAGATGGAGGCGTACGTCAAGCAGTGGCGACGCGTCCTGGCTCGCCTATAGCCTATAGCCCTACCAAACAATGTTATAAGAACGTTTTGTGGTTTCCACGAAATGTTCTTAGAACGTTTCGGGCGGAGTCTGTCTTGTTTTAATAAGTCGGGTTTATGTTCGAAGAACATTGATTTTGTTCTTAGAACATTTTGGGGCTCTAAATACATTTCGTGGTAGGATTGTAGGAATGCCGGGGCGGCCGGTCCCTGCTCAAGTACGAGAAGGCACAGAGAGACAAGAACACAATTAATCCGCAGTCGGCCAGGCAAAGGACGCTACGGTCCGACACGGAGTACGCACAGCAGACCAGGAAGCTTACCAGGCTGGCTGCCAAGCGTGCGGCGGCGCAGAAGCACCTGGACGACTGCGAGGAGGAGCTCAACGACCAGGCGATCCTGGTCCACATGGCCGAGAAAGAGCGCGACGCCGCTTACGCCGACCTACCACGCGCTCAGGGGCGCCGAGGCCCAATGGGGGGAATCCCAATCCCAACCTCACCTCGGATGGCCTCGCAGTTTTGTTTGCTTTCGGCGAATCGATGCTTGATGACATTGAGGAGTTCAAGGATGCAGCGAAACAGAGACTTCTCGGATTGGGGTGCACAGCTGCAGTCTCACCGCCAGGCCCTCTTGGAAGGCCAGAAGAAGTTCGAGTCACTCTTGGCGGACATCAAAAAGACGGTGGAGGTGCATGCGAACAAGAAAAGGAAAGCGGCATCTGGAGAAGCAGTACCACCACCAAGTGGAGGGGCAGAAGCAGCACACCCAGATGCCGACATGCTCAAGGAGGAAGCCGTTAAGTCAAAGGCCGACAAAGCCCTTGACGATGATGAACGACGCGAGGCAGCAGAGAAAGTCAAACAGGCAGCCAAAATACGCACAGGCAGCCGCAGCAGCAGGTACCAATTGCAGCTTCAAAGAGGCCAGGAGGAGTTTGGCCAAGAAGGGCGCCGACAGGACAAGTGCTGGCAGCAGTGGTGCTACTCCACCTCACGTTTGACACGAAGCCCCTCTTTGGTAGCATCACCCAGTGGGGCCCCGAGGCGGCCCTTTTACACTTACAAAGCCGAGGATATCTACAAGGTCATCGCACTCTCAGAAACTGATTTGGAAGAGGAGCGGATCCCGTTGGAAAGAAAATTCGTGCGCAAATATGGGTGGAAGTTATCCACCACTCCAACGTTTCCCAAGAACGCGGGCTATTCGGCTGGAGACTGGGTTCTGGCAAGGTCGCAAGTTGTTACTACTACCTCCGATGCAGTCAGGAAGGCCAGTCTGGACATCGGCAACAAAGGACCCGTTCCGTGGGCTTGCGCCGCTAATTTGGCACCTGTTGTCAGGAGGTGGATTGATCATATCCTCGTACCTTCTCCCTGGCATGGGCAGTGTGAGGAAAAGCGAGGACAGGATGAAGGCGTTTGCGGGTTTCTTGGAAATGGCCGCCGGCCCATGGATTATCGTGGCAGACTGGAGCCTGCCTCCACAAGAATTGGTCGATTCAGAATGGCCGATCAGGATGCACGGCGAGATCGCGATCCAAGATGTGGCCATCACGCGCGACAGAGGTGCAAAAGGAGGCTTATATGATTATGGCATGGTCAAAAAAGGTTCTCAGTCACGTGCATTGCCCCATGCTGTCGCGGATGTACCATGGGCTACACGGTGCCGCATTGAGGCTCGGCTCGAAGGGGTCCAACAAAAGTTGCGGCACCAATCTCTCGCTCTTGTGCCGAGTCTGCCAGATTGCCGCAAGCCCACGGCGCAAGCTGCCAGCAACAGCTCGAATAAGAAATAGCACGAGCATGAGCGGCGCGTCGCCTCCCCCCGGGCGCCGCTGCAGGACCCCATGATCGAGGTGATGGGGTGCCTGGGGCGGGGCGGGGAAGAAGAGGTGGCTAATTTTCACATGCAAAAGGAAGAATGGCAGATGGGATGGCAGGCTGCTAAGAGCATCATGCACGAAGGATTGGGTTTCTCGGGGTTCCCAGTTCCAGAAACTCAGATGTCGCTTCGCACTGAAGCCCAGAGGTCCATTGACATGGAGCACGGGTTGTGGGTCACTGCGCTGGAAGAAACCATCCTGCAACAAGAGAAGGAAAAACAGCGGATGTGCAGAGGCATCCGCAATGGGTTTGCAATCGGATGGAAGTCTTCAAAGTCGACGTCTGGCAGGGTTCACAGCCGGGCCCGATTTCTGAAAGCTGGAGCACCATGCGGACCCTAGTCGACAGGTTCAGGAAGTTTTTCGGTCTGCAGTTGGACCGGGGGCAACAGCGCACCCTGCTGGGGCGAATTAGATCGCTGAGCGGAGTCACATTGGCAGGCCCCTCTACTGGTTACTTTGGTAGATCAGGCGAGCTGGATCATCAGCGATGGCAGGGCATGATATTGCGCATTCGGCGAGTCTCTGAAACTACCTGGAAGCAGGTCTACGAGCAGGACCAAACTCAGCACGTGCAGTCAAACGGCAAGCAGAACAGCGCAGACAGTACAGTGGACCCAGGAGTGGCCAAGCGAATCAGCAGCATCCCGTTCTACCAGCGCCACCCGTACTTCAGCGTTGCCTTTGGGGCCTCTGCCGAGGACTTGCAGGTTATTCCATCGCAGCAGCAATATTTCAGCGAGGCGGTGATCAAGGAGGGCGCGCTGGACTCCTTCGAACAGGCGGGGGGCCCGACGGGCGCGGAGGATGGCAAGTCCCCCGCGGTGCGAGAGCCCGAGCTATCCGACGGCGCAGTGACGGATGCAGAGCACGGCCTCGCCGACATCCTGTCAGGCGACCGAGGGGGGAAGCCTGTCTCCTCTTCCCTCGGCGACGTTAGAACGCACGCCCCTGTCACTCCACGTTGTGGCAGGGCTCGGTCGCCTAGCGTTTTGCTGAGAACGCATGTCCCTGTCGCTCCGCGTCGTGGCAGGGCTCGTCTAACGTTTTGCTGGCGCTGGCGACGGGCTTGGAGGCCTCGGCTGGATGCGCGCAGTCGGACGTGGGGGCCGCTTTGCCCCCGGGCCCGCTGAGCGCCGCGAGCCTCCGGAGGTCCCCTCTGGAGCCATGGGCCGCTGCTGGCGCGAGGTGCGGAGAGCGCGCCGCTACTGGCGGGGCAGCGCGGGCGGGGGCCGACCGCCACAAAGGAGGTGCGCAACTGCCAGGGGGGGTAGGGGAGCAGCTCGCCGGGCACCCTACCCCCCCCCCCCCCCCCCGCAGAAGGAAGGGACAGCCGCGCGACCGCTCCATGGCAGAGGATGCGTCGGGCGGCCAGGTCCAGATGGCGAGTCATCATCAGTCAGAGAGCGAGGCTTCTTTCATTGTGGCGGGGCCCGCTGCTTCCACGCTCGATCTCCAGATGGGCCCTCTCGAGCAGCTAGAGGAGGCTCGCGAGGAGAGCGCGCAGGTCTCGGCCCACATCGACTGCGCGCGGCCCGGCGGGTTGTCCAGGCGACCCCCATGGGATCCCTGGATGAGCTGGAAGCTCTCGCCGACAAACTTCAGATGCGAGCCCAGGCATGGGCCATCAGCAAGGG